CGCGCGCCCGTAACCTTCCGCGGCCTCGGCTGTCCTCGTTGCCGATAACGAGCGGCCGCGGGGCGGTTTTTCCGCGCGCGCGGTGGCCGAAGACGGAGCGCGGCGGACGAAGGGGACGGAAGGGGGACAAGGCCGGAGAGAGCGCGGCGCGGCGGCCTGAGGCCAGGACAGACGGGGGATCAATCGGCGACGAGCATGAGGAGACGCCTCGGGGCGCCCACCACCGCTACTGTCTCATCGTCAGCGTGCGGGAACGGCCGCGTTACCATCGTCGCTGCGCGCCGCTGCTGCTCGGCCCACCAACGTACGCGAGCGCTCGGCGGACGATGGGCGCCGGATACGAACATTGACGACTACCTGCCGGACGTGTCGTCGTCGTCGGCGTCGTCGCGGCTACCCCAGAGGGGACTCCCGTCGTCCCTGGTCTAATTCGCGATCTCGCTCATCTCGCGCCAGCTCCTGCGGCTGAATCCCGCGCGGCGGATACGCGCGTCCTCGGGAGCGACACGGGGAGGGACACGCGCGCCCTGCTACCGTTGCTGTTGCTGCCGCGCGACCACCCTCCGTTGTAAACGATAACACGGGAGGATACGTGGCGCCGAGGAGATGTTTGCGCGCACGTGGCGTTGAAACCTCCCGAGACAATCGCCACGAAGCGGAAGGGAGGAAGCGGAAGGGCGACCGGAGAGTTTACGGAGCTGGGAGGACGCTCGATGGATTCGCCCGGAATTTCGCGAACGGGAATCCGCGTATCTCACTTGCGCGAGCACTCGCGAAGTTAGAGCGCTCCGCGGTAGAGAGGGCTGGCTTCGGAGGGGGAGAAAAAGCGCGCTGGGGGTCACCGACGGTAACTGGGACACCGCGGGCCGACGCGATTCTAGTTTCGGGGACGCGGCGTGTACTCCCCTTCCCCATAATCCTCTCGGTGCTGAACACGCGTCGGGAACTGCAAGTCGGAGAGTACTTCATCAAATACGAAGAGGAGAGCGAGACTTGAAAGGAGAGGGGAAAAAAGAAACAATCGTTCCGCGGGACTTCACCCCGTCGCGCCGCGATTTACGTAGACGATTGCTAAATGTGACACGGAGTCTTTCCAGCTCCCCCCCCCCCCCCCCGTCGTTAATCTCGAAGCGGCGAGAAGATCAGGCGAATTTCAGGCTGACACGCACGTTCAGCACCGTCCGAAACACAATTCGGGGCGACCGAATTACTGTACCTAGTACAGCGAAACATTTTATGCGTTCGATAAGAAAAACAAGTGCGTATACACGCATGTATATACGGGTACACACAGACACGCACACAAACGCGGGGCACCGCGCGGATCTATATTAGGTACATGTACGCATACATGTTACAAATTTATTTAAATACGTCGTAGATAAATATATATATATATATATATATATATTATACGTGTGTTAAACCTTTTCATAGAGATCTAAATAACGACGTTGACAAATTACATAGTATATCACGTTACGCGATTCTCGATAATCAAATATCGATAACTCGACCGCACGGAAAATATAACACGTTGGAAAAATAACGCTCGCGAGAGAGAAAGAAAGAGAGAGAGAGAGGAAACTCCCCTTGGAGAATTAAAGAGCCGAGAAGAGCGCGGGAAAGCGAGAGAGACGAGGAAAAGTTAACTCGCTTTTGTGAGGGCGCGGAGATAAGAACGAGAGGAAGGAGACACTTAAATCCTTGTACCGTGAGACTCGAGCGGTCGTATGTGTTACACATGTGGTAACGAGTAGAATACCTGAAACAATCCTTTATCGATCGGCCGATCGAAGAAACTGCCACGAAACATTTGCCAATTACGTTAACGGAGAAAAAAAGAAGAGAGGGGAAACTCGCGGGATCCTCTCTGTCCTTTGTCAATGCGCGCGAGTGTTCGCGCGAGTCCACGGTGCTCAATTAGGCGTATAAGTACACAAGACACGCAGGCGTGCAAATTATTTTTCTCGACCCAACCCCTTCTCCGAGAAGTGCATCCCTGTACGTTAGTATAAATAAGCGCGTCGAGTCTGTCCAAAAGAAAAGCCCCCCCCCCCCCCCGAGTGAGGAAGCCAACTCAAACGATCCTCGATCTACCTCAACGACCGTCGGCTCAGCCCTCCCCCCTCGAACAAGGTATCTCGGCAAGAGATCGTTGAGGAGCAATCACTATTGCGAAATATCGTCCAACTGAAAGTCCTAGAGCTTAAAATCTTCCATCGTTGCCCTCGATCGTTGTCACCTCGCGTCCTCGGAGAGAAGAAGGATACACCCTTGCACGATCCACCGGGTGAATCAAGTGAGGTCGAGGTACGTTCCCTCGATCGACGAGGTTTTTCGGACGGACGTTGATTTCCGGCTGTTCGCTACCGACGCGAATGTCCCGGCGCTACTTGAACATGAGGGACACCAAGTAAAGATGATCGATGTAAGCGGGGCCCTCGTGTGTTTCGAGTCGCGCGAAATCTCGATCGTCCCTCGCACAATCACCGAGCTCGTCGGGCGGTAGATAGGACTCCGATTAGCGATTGTCGCATACATCGAGCATCTCTGCCTTCGAGATCGATTGGATGCTGACGATTAGGGTGTCAAGTCGACACACGTTGCGTCGTGCGTGGATCGCGCCTTGTGCAATTCGCAAATCAAGCAAGTGATATGCTCTGTCTCACGCGGGTGCACGGACACGATAATGCTGGCGGCGAGAGATGAGATTAGAGCGCCAAGAAGAAGAGAAAGAGAGAAGAAACAGCTGCACCGCGGGACGGGGAGAAGAAGCCGCGCTAAGAAAGACACACAGCCATGTCATGGGAGTCTATCTCGTCCAGGGATTACCTCGGGCAAGTATCGTTGCTTACAGAACGAAAATAAATTAGCAAATTCCGAATTGCGAATTGCAAAACACGAGAATAGCCACGTATGACTCGACGCGAGCACATTTTGATCGTTAGAAATCGTTTTCGGTTAAAAAATTTATTAAATTATTACTTGACGAAATAATCGATTGTAATAATAATAATAATGGGGCAACATTTTTTGTTGATATACAACAATATATATAATATGTTATATATTGTTATTTGTTAAGTTTAGAGCCAATAAGTGGCGATACACTTGTACTCAGAATTCAACATACTTTCTAATTGCGACACGAAAAACAGAACATTTCGTTTAAAATTAACTTTCAAATGTTTTTATTTATAAATAAAGTGCGTACATTATGTAATGTAATTTTTGTAACATTTCTTTAAATTTATAATCCATGAAAGATGCAATGTATATAGTTGTTTGCTAATAATTAATCATTATGAGAAACATTAAAAACATACAGGTATCAGAGAGAATTTTCTTTTAAAATTTATCCTGAAATATTTTATAATCGTGGAGCAACACGGCATTTCGAAGAATTTTATGAGTTTTTTAAATTTCACCATACATTTCACTAATGTAATTATATTTAGTATAATTAAAGTGGTAAACTTTCAAAGAAGTTTCATAAGGTCCTTTAAATTGCCACGTTGTCGCACGATTTTCAAAGTGAATTTTAAGAGGCAATTCTCACCGTGCATTCTACTTAAATGCTTCATTGATTGCCATTTTTACTATTGTACAAGATTAATTTAATTGTTACGTAGTGTATCAAAGTGATCATCAATTCTCTTGTCGAAAGAAAAAGAGTAAACTATACATTGGAATGCGTTTGCACACATATACCATATGGTGAATATACAAGCTTGCTTGAAATCTGAAATAAACGGTTACTACGTCTGTGCAAGGAAAAATAATATAAAAATACGCGCTCTTCACGTGTATGTTTATAAAAAGATTATGGGAAAATGATAAGAATTGCATATATAATTCATTGAATTCTTTACCACTTTTTCTCAGCTTGTAGTAGCTAATCTATGAGTTGTTGTTTTATTTATAAAATGAGAGTATTGTGATCTATATGAGTAATCTAGATTCTTCCAAATCACTTTCGTTTGCTTTAAAAACCATTAACAGTTCTAACGATAAATATTAATTAAAAGTAATCTTTTATACTCGATACTGAAGTGACGTAATTACATTCTTTTTACATACGTTAGCTAAGCAAACACAACAACGAAAAGTAGCATACAGGTATTTATTGTAACTAGAGTAATATGTTTCAGCAGTTTCTTTTTATGTTTTTAATTTAATACATGGCCTAACCTAACCTAACTCTGTAATGTATAAATATCGATGTGAAAATGTATAAAAAGAAGTTCTAGTAAAGCAAAAATGACGCCCAGCGAAATAGGTCGCAGTTCAATTTGTTAATTATTGTAACATGATAAAAGAAAAATTATGAAAATTGCTTTCTCGTGTATTTATATAAAAAATCATATTTAACATTTAGCGAAATCGCTAAATAAGGTAAATGAGGAATTATGTAAAAACGTTGGAGAGCTATATGTTAAAAAGTAATAACGCAAAAGTGATATCGCAAATTTGCCTCATTAAGTACTTTTTCCGATTTTATTTAGGTAACCTTTGTAGGCCAGTTTTACAAACGGTTAACTATTAACTGGAGAGAGAAAGAGAGAGATTCATCGATTCCCTATATCGTTTTAGATAATAATATAGAAAAAGATATGGAGTCGATTAACCTCTGGTTAGCAGTTAATCGATGTTTGTAAAATTGGCCCTGTGACAAGCGGAACGCGTTGCAAGAATAAATTGTATGACACAGAAATAGACTATTGTGAGTCAGAAATCCTACGATTATAATCGAATACGCGAATTATGCATACATTTGTCATGCTATTTGGAAAAGCGTCGTTAACGTGAAACGATTTTCGCGTCAAGTCATTACGAGATCAAGCAAGGACGGGGATGCTCGAGGGAAGCGGAAGGCGTGCGATATAGGGGGACGACAAAGGCAGGTGCCTTGTATTTCGTTGATCGACCTCGACGCGTGGAAGAACCAGGGGATGGTTCGATTTTCCACTTAGAATCGCAACGCCGTACCGTATCTCGTAGCTCGTAAATGGGTCAGCAAAAGAGGTCGCAGGTGCCTCGCCCACCTAGCGAACGTGGTGGGAAAGCGATAGAGTGTCGTATACTCTTCGCTTTACACGATACGGGCTTGTATACGTATACACACACCTACACTACGAGGCCACAAACAAGCGGGTATGCGCGCGCGCACAGGCACGCGACTGTTTTGGGGAGGAACTTGAGCGGGAGTGGAAAGTAATTTGCGACGGGGGGCGTGATTTTCACGGGGTTTCTATCGAGCGTTAGGCGCAGGATACTACTCTTTTACGACCTTAATTAGCTTTAACGTCATAATTACCGATTGATGACGCCTCAACAATACCTGCCAATAATACGTATGCGTGATTTTGCTTAGTTATTTATTTATTCTTAATGCGGACAGAACATATATGTTTCAACTTAAAATGTTGTTACTCTCGTTGCGAAGGGAGTAATGTTCAATTAGGGAAGATCGAGGGGTGAACCGCTGAGGGAATTGTGGCGTACGGATTTGCGGTATTACTGGGCATTACTAGGCAGTTTTTGGACATTAGGCCTTGCTAGGGCATTAGAATAAGATAATAAGATAAAGTAACGCCCACTGCAGGCATTAGCAGGCATTGGTGTACATGATTTTGGTCAGCAGTTTACCCCTAGATTTCAGGGCAATCTAAAATGTTTGTTTTATCACTTTAACTTAAGAATAGTATTCATCAAAGTGCAACATAAATCATTACTTTGTCCAAATTGTACAGTTAAGACTTCAATTAACGTGTCGACTTGTCTGCAACGTCAAATTGATCCTAACATCGAATTTGAGTTCTGAAATAAACGTCCGATGAGGGTTAAAAAAAGAACACGCCTGAATTCATGCCTGATAAAAAAATTA